TTATGATGATTTATTACAAAGCAAGTGATTCTTGAGACAGCAGATTGAGTCTATGGGCGAAATTCTTGAAATTAAGAGTATCAGTGCAGATTCTGGGACTTAACCATTTCTATGTAGAAAGCAACTAATAAATCAAGAATTTTAGAGCTTACAGACCACGGATCATTAATGTTACAGTATTTTATGTTACTATCACAATAATCCTAAAATATCACCATGGTTATATGTGTGTAACTCTGACTATGGAGTGAATATTCAGTGCCATCATGAACACAAGAAGCCTCTAACCTTCAGGTTGGAAGGACTTGGGTGAGGACTTGAGCGCCACATCATTCTGAGGCTGAGATTCAGATAACATATAGAGATGGGAAAAGAGACACAACTGTCATGTCTTCCAAACTGAGCTGGGGACATCTGCAGCTACTGCCACCATCTCAGTCTCGTGCAATGGGAAAAACGGATGTAAAAATAGAAGCAATACATCCAGCTATTAACACTGAGGCAAAGCCGGGTATGGCAGTCTGCAGAGGCACGGGTGCAGAGTGGGCGACGGCTCCCTCTAGGGCACACTGTCCCCGGTGGATGGCGTGCCAACTAACTCAAGAGTTCTCTACCAACCACGCCATCCCTGATTTACTCATTTCCCCCCAAGCTCTAATGAAGTATGATTGACAGATGAAAATTGGATATATTTAGGTTGCACAGCATGATTTTTTGTTAAGGTGTACATCGTAGGGGATGACAAGGAGGAGAAAAGCGAGAAGGTTACACACTGCCTGAGAGCAAGTTATACCTCCTGGCAGGAAAGTGAAGGAGCCTATTTGTTCAGAAGAAAATGTCTCCCTGGGAGTTCCTCACCTCACCGAGTGGGTTAGCTCCTCTCTATTAGACTTATGAAGAGGCCAAACAGCTGTGTGCAGAACAGGCAAGAATTTTAATAATGAGAGTGCTGGATGAGAGGATAAAGACAGCATACAAGAGCTGCGGGAGATTCTACACCCAGAAAGTAACTACCCTTGTTTTCTGTGTCACGGCTGTTCCACGGGGCAGGGGGTGGATTCTGAGTGCCCATTCAGTAGATTCAGTATGGATCTTTCTGTTGTTTTTGGTTGTTCTTTGTTTTCTAAATTGAGATATAATACATCTACTATAAAATTCACCCTTAAAAAACTGCACAATTGAGTGGTTTTTAGTATATCCACAAGGTTGTGCAACCATCGCCGCTATCTAATTCTAGGACATTTTCATCACCCCAAAGAGGAACCCTGTACCCATTAGCAGTCACTGCCCCTTCTCCCCAGCCTCTAGCAACTGTCAGTCCACTTTCTGCTGCGATAGATTTACCTACTCTGAATATTTCATATAAATGGAAGCATACATATGTGGCATTTTATGTCCGACTTCTTTCACTTAGTAATGTTTTGGATGTTCGTCCATGCCATAGCATGTATCAGGATTCCTTTTTATGGCTGAATAATATTCTATTGTGTAAATACCACGATTTGTTTATCCATTCATCTGATGATGAAAATTTGGGTTGTTTCCAATTCGGGGCTATTACGAATAACACTCTGTGAACATTTGTGTGTAAGTTTTTGTGCAACATGTTTTTACTTCTCTTGGCTGTATACCTGGAAGTAGAATTGCTGAGTCATATTGTTAACTCTAAATTGAACTTTCTGAAGCACTTCCAGAGTGTCTGCCAAAGTGGCTACACCACCTTATGTTCTTATCAGCAATGTTTGAGGGTTCCAGTTTCTCCATATCCTAGTCAATAGTTGCTATCATCTGTTTTTGATTATAACCATCCTAGTAGGTATGAAATGTATCTCATTGTGTTTTGTCATTTGAAAAAAAAAACACCCAAGCTGCTCATAAGAACTTAGTTTAAAAAGACAAGGCTTAAGTGTAAATGCCTCCTTCCTCTCTACTCCCATTTCTGTGGGGCAAATACTTTAAATTCTTTTACCGGTTTTGTCTGATATTTATCTTCTATTTCTGGTAGTATGCTTATACCACTGTTTTATTAAAAAATCTGTTTGAGATATTCTCTTTTGAATTCCAACTATGGAAGCTGAGCATTTAATTCCCTTATCTTCCCCAGTGTGCACACAAATACACATTCACTTTATCCTTCCATTTTCACAATATGATTATAATCTCCATTTTTGGTTAAATCAATAATTGGCACTTACATTGTTATGACTATGCATTCAGAGCCATGTAGTGTACAAAATTTATATTTACTTAATTATACCTTCTCCCCTCAGACTCCAGATGAGATAGAGGAACACATTTTCTTTTTTAGTCCCCCCTTCTCAGTTTTCTACATAGTAATTACTACCTCATCCTCCAATTCTGCAAGGGAGCTAAAAATCTCTGGGCATATTCAAACACAATGGATATTCCACTGTGTCTTTCTCTTTCCTTTTTTTTTTTTTCTTTCTGAAAGACATTCCTTCTAGAGGCCACCACTCTCCTGCTCCAATCTGGACTGCCTGGCATGGGCTTCCTGCGTAGTTCTTGTCCTGGAACTTTCCTTCACCATCACGGACTTCTCTCTTCCTTTGCATTGCCTGTTTCCTGGATCCCATATCTTCCTCTGTCTTAGTTTTGTCCCAGGTTACAATAGCATATCTTCCACTAACTTCTTTATTCCTCTCTTGCTCCATTACTGTCTTCTTTTGTGTTAAATAGGTATTTTCCAGTGTACCATTTTAATCCTCCTGTTTCTTTCAGGTTTCTTTGTTGTTGTTGTTCTTGTCTTAGTGGTTGCACTGGTAATTCCAATTAACACCTTAACTCAATCTAGTTTAGACGAATACCAACTCAGTTTCAATAGCACTCACAGTGGTTTATGGATGCATTCATGCTATCATGGTAGAGTTGATTGGCTGAGACAGAGCATGTGTGCATATGGCCTGTAAAGCCTAAAACTTTACCATCTGGTCCTTTACAGAAAAAACTTGCCGATCCTGATCCAGTGTCCTGATCTTCCTGATCCTATTTTTTCTCTCCTGCCTCCCAGGATTAAGCAATCTGTTCTCTGAACTCTCACTGTGTTTCACCTCTCCTGAAACTTACAAATTAACTGCAAGTGCTAAGAAACCAAATGAAAAGGCACAAAACAGTATCAACAAAGTGTGAAAAGCTTCTTGGTGCCCACAGTTGTATGTCAGATGCTCAAAGTTGTAATCATTATGATCTATCAAATCCAGTCCTTCAACATTAAATTACTCTGAGGATTATTACTACTGATTTGAATTTGAGAGTTTCTAAGGCTGGTTTCTCCATCACTTAGTCCCATGCCCAAGCAGTGCATTTCCACACGAGTGTTCTGTGGTGGGCATGGGTTGTTTTTGTCGGACCACCATTCACTTCCCATCTTCTGATAAGAGTTCTTCGATTTTTATTTGACACCAAGGATGGCGACATAATGTGGGGCACAGAGTGGGGAGGGAGCTGCCAGGGACCACCACCTGGAGGGGGCCTGTCTGAGCTCAAAGCCCACCACAAGGCAAGCAGAGCTGACAGGGAGAGAGTGAGTGAGTCCTGATGACGTGGTTCAGCCTCTGCCTTCTGCTGTACCTTCGAACTTTCCAGTTATGTGCACCAAATAAATCCCTTTTTCTGTGTAAGCCTTTTGAGTTGTGCTCCTGGTGCTTATGAGCAAAAGGAATCATGACTGACATAGACTTTGAAAGCAGAGGCTGAGCTACTTCTGGGTAGCCATGTAGGTCCACCTTCTTCACGAGGACCCTTCATTTTATTTTTAGCAAGAGACAAACAAACATTTCTACTATAGTTCAGGACCTGGAATAGTTTTAGTCTAATGCAGGATTGATTTCAGAACTAAGGATCCTCTCAAATTCAGGTTACTGTCCTTGACAAAACAGAAAAACTAATGGTTTCAGAAATAACTAAATATGACAAGAATAACATTCTACCAAGTAGTTTATCAAGTTCCTGATAAAGCACATTTTGAAAGGCAATCAGGACATAATTTCATGGAATAGAAACATTCCTTGCACTTATCTATTTTCAAAGCATATTTGCATCCAAAACTTCATCAAATGCCCTCAGACTTCCTTTTTGATAAATGACCCACATTTTAAAGTCTTTTCTAAGCAAACAAACATATTTTATTAATAATAATAGGTCAGTTTCTTATAAATAAATACCCTAAAATTTTTATTCTTCCTCAACTCTAGTTTCCTGTCCCCAACATTTACTTACTTTTCTACTTTAGGCCATGAACAAATAATTTTTATTTCGCCAGCTTTAGGGGAATACTGAGCCTTTTTCTAATTTGTTTCCTTTTCATCCCAGCTCTGTAGCTGTGACTCATTCACTTAACCCACTTGTCCTTAACACGGCCCCGCACACAAGAGTGTCGGTGGAGTCCACAGGCTTAGTTTTGAACCTCCAGCTCTGTTACTTCCTCGCATGACGATCCTGAGCAAGTTTCTAAATCTGTAAAATGAGGATAATAACAGTACCTTCCTCATATAACTGTTGTAAAGATTAAATGAGATGTATGCAGGAGAGACACAGGAAGTGTGCAGGAAATGCTATTGTTATCCTCTGGCTACCAGAACGGGTTCTGCTAACCAGTGCTCCTTGCTGTTTCATTCCACACCAGAGGCTTGTAAGCCCGGGTGATTTGTTTATCATTTCAAATCTAGGCCCTCCCCAGGGCAGAGACAATAAATACTGATTTATTGAATGAATGAATGAATATGGGTAATACGGGTATAATTTTATTGATATTCTGATTTTATGGATGAAGAAACTGACTCAGAGAGGTAAAGTGACTTGAATAAAGCCCCACAGTGGGTTAGAGAGGGTTAAGACACACTTCCCCTGCCTGGTTGTTCTTCTCGTCCACCATATTTCCTCTTAGGGCCTCTACCTCAGGATCTAAAAATTCAGGTGCAGCATCTTGGTTACTAAACGACGATTTTCAAGAGCCAAAAGAGATTGTGAAATTGAAAACCTACCGTGGTATCCACAGCCTTGACTTTCTCTGTAGGGATGTGCTTTGGGACAGGTTCTGTCTGTGACAGCATCACACATCCTTCAGCACCTAAGGTGACGATTACGACCCGGCAGCCCCTTTCCGTGAGCACCAGCGCTGCTTTCCCAGCATCCTCTGGGCTGCTGACCTCCAGGCCGGTCAGAATCTCAGCCTGCAACACACAAAAGGGAAAAGAAACAGTTGTGGGAAGAAGTAGCTTGGGTCCACTTGTAAATTAGATTCTTCTGTTTTTCCAGAAAATGTCTCCCTTCTTTATCATATAACAAATGCAGTGGAGCACTTTGGTGGACACTGGCTCAGGAAAATAAATAAAATAAAACAATAACAATAATCACAAAAACTAGCTATAAAACACATTCTTGAGACAACTGGGGAAATTTGAAAGTGGCCTGAATATCAGATGGTAGTAGAGAATCACTGATAATTTTCCTAATGGTATTGTGGTTCCTCTTAGGAGATGCGCGCTGAAGTATTTAGGAGGTGAGGGATCATGTCTGCAAATTACTCTCAAGTAATTCAACCAAAACCAAAATAAGTACACATGGAGCAAGGGGAAGGCAATGCAGCAGAATGTTAATAACTGTTTAGGTGGAGAGAGTTAGGGAGAGCAAAGAGAATTCTATAAAAGAAGGAAGGGAAGAGGGGAGGGAAGAAAGAAGAAAGGAAGAGGTTACTGCCAATGATTTTGATATGAATCATACCCATAAATTTCACGCCTAAACTGTTTTAGGCCTCTCTTGGACCATGATGCATTTTTCATATTACTAGTTTGCAGACCACTCATTTCTTCTGTTTGTTTGTTTGTTTGTTTGTTTTGCTTGAGAGGATGGAAGCGGAGTAGGAGAGGCTCTGATATGTAGCAGAAAAAGCACTGCACTGACATTCCGAGACATCCACTACTCACCAACCCTGGAACCTTCCCCAGGTCACATGCAAGCTGTAAAATGAGGGACTTGGAGAGGATCAGTAGTTTTCTCTCAGAATATTAAAATGTCTCTGGCTGAAGTAAGGGCGAGGGGCGGCAGCCCTGTTTCCTCATCCCCTTGGCTCCTGTCCAGCATCTCCCGGGAACCTTTATGGTCCTGGGGTAGGCAGTTGCAAATTCACTGGACTAGATGAATTATATGCTACTTTTTGACTTAAAAAGTTTAAAACTAAATTCGGTCTTTTCTTCATTACAGTTTAATCACATACTATCTCTTCTTAAGAACGGGTCTATCCCTGTCTCTGCTTGCTCTGAACATGCCCAGATGAATCCTTTATGTTGCCTCTAGATCATTCCACAGTGTCTACGCATTGTTGGCATCAGTTTTCCCAGTAGCACGGGTTTCATTAACTTGACCACACATCCCCCCTCGCCATCCTTTCCCCAGGCCCTTTCAGTCTGTTGGCTGATTATCCTGTGAGGCCACTTTCTTTTTTCTTTTTACAAGGTTTGCATTGATCTTCATTATTGGGATCACTTCTGTGTGTTGAGTTGGATGGTTTACTTTCAGAAACACTGATTTCTTGTGGTTTTTGAAAACCTTTTAAACAAATATTCTTTAATGAAAAATCTTGAACATGAAAAATAATGCACACACACCCATGTACCTCCCACTCAACTTAATGAATTTATTTTATTAAATTTTACTTTATTTGCTTTTGATATTTTTCTTTAAAGAAGTTAAATGATATCTTCCATATGTATTGTTTAGCAATGTGCTTTTCCTCTAAACATTGTAAAATTTGTGTTGACATACGTAGCTTTAAAAAAAAAAACCCATACTGTGTTCCATACTGCAAATATGCTACGGTTTAAAAATCCATTCTCTTTTTCATGGACACTTTGGCTTTTCCCATTTTCCCCTTTCACAAGCAATGAAGTATAGGATATTCTTGACATTTATAAGTAATCTTTTTTCCTCTGGTTGTTTAAAAATATTTTTATCTTTATTAAACCTTGATCTTATGTGGTTCCACTAAAATGTACGTTAGTAGAGAGTTAATGTTTATCTTATGTGGTACTTTTAATACACTTTTGATCTGAGGGCTCATGCCTTTTCTCAATTCTAGAAAACACCTTGCAGTTTTTCCTCTAATACAGCTTCTCTTCAGTTCCCTCCAATCTCTTCTTCCTTCACTTCAGTTTGACATATATTGAAGCCCCTCAAGCTGTCCTTCATTTCTCTAACTTCTAAGGAAGTTAAAGTTAATCATACTTATTTTAAAGTCTTTTTGGAATTATTTTATTATTTGAATTTCACCTTGGGCCAATCCATCTTCAGATGGTTGATTTTGCTGGATCTATTGCCGCATTATGTTTCTTCATTTGCAGGCTTACTCTGCTAATAGTGAGTTGGAGATTCGGCACATTTCACCCCCTACCAGGCTTATCTCTGCCTTTCTAGTGGTTTCACAGCTGCACCCACCAGGTCCCTGAGGGTCTCTAAACCACAGCCAGGTGATATGTTGGCAACAGGGAGTTCTTGTTCTGGGGTTATTAACAATATTGCCAATCCAGTCACTAAGTTACCAGTGGGTTGGTTTCCTTCCTGATTAGAGGCAGTCTCTCTGCCCTCCTATCTCTGCAGGTTGGGAGCTTTATATATATTGTAGCCTCAGGCAGCAGGCATAGCAGCTTCCTCCACCCTTTTTCCTTAGCAGGGAAGCTTTAGCCCAGCATCTCTGCTTTCCAGCCATGGGCACCGCTCCCGTCTGCCATGAGCGGCATGCTTTCAGTGCCCAATACCCAAAGGAGGCAAACCTGCAGCCATCTATGTCTGCTTCTGGGACTGGAGTACAGCACATCTAGGGCTGAATGCTCAGTGATTCTGTTCCATTTCTGATCTGTGGAGCTATTTATCTTGTTTTTGAGCTTGTGAGTAGATTTTCATTGTCTCTTTTTACTTATTTATACATCAGTGGTTTGAGTGCGGCACAGAGGGAGTATCTTAAAGCATGAACTTACATTGTTGTCATGATTAGAAGTCATCCATCAGAATGTTAAGCTTTTAAACTTTTTCTTTTTCCCATTAAGTATTTGAGGTTAATTTCCTTAAAGACCAGAGTTCACTTGTTTATTTATTCAATAAGCACTTACTAATGCTTACTAGGTGCAAGCTATGTGCCAAGTACAATATAACAGGTGATCGTTTCTGAAGATAACTATCCACATATATCACATCATACACGCTCTTTTCGCACTGTGACAATGACAATCTTCTGTTGAGAGGCTGGGTACCGGGGTGGAATTTCCTCAGTCAGTAGAATGGGGTGGTGGGGAGAGATGCTATGTGACTTCCAAAGCTAAGTCATAAAGGCCAACGTATCTTCTGTTGGGCTATCGTGCTCTCTCTCACTCTCCCTCTCTCAGGAGACTGGATCTCGATAGAACCCAGTTACCATATTGTGAGGAAGCCCAGGCCATAAAGAGAAGCTGTGTGTAAATATTCTGGCCAATAGGCAGCGTCAACTAACTAGCAAGCATGTGATTGAAGGAAGGTTCAAATGATTCTAGCTCTCAGTTGTTGAGTCCTTCAGCTGAGACCCCAGATATGGTAGAGGAGAACAAGCCATGCTGTGCCCTGTCTTAATTCCTGATGCAGAGAATCCATGAGGGACAATAAATAATTACTGCTGTTGTAAGCCACTAAATTTTGGGGTAATTTATTATGTAGCAATAGATAGCCATTGGGGATATAAGAGTGAATAGGAGATGTCCATACCCTCATAGGAGAAGACAGAGTTATTGAATAAGCAATTTGAGCTGTGACGAGTGTTTGAAGAATAAATAGAGATGCTCTGTAACAGTCTAGCAGGGAAATCTAAGCCAGTTTGGCAGTTGAAGGTAATCTAACTTCTTATTGTGAAATGGTCCCTATCTCCCACAATTCCTTTTTCCTAGCACAATGCCTGGCCATGGTGGTTGCTCAAAAATATTGCATAATCTATTGTGGCTTCTTAAAATTAGTTTCCTTGTGGCAGTCTTTTTTCTTGTTTCCTTTATTTTCTGAGGTGAAATTAACAAAAAGGCAGGTCAGGAAATCCTAGAAACCTTCATTCAGTCTTTGCACCAAATGGAAAACTATTATTATAGTTCATTAATTATAAACTTTCTTTCTCTGTATGTTGCATTGTATATGTCTTGCCTCCTAGTGTTGGGGGAGAGTGCTAGTCTAATAAAAGGAAGAAATATTGAAATTTTCTTCCTGAAATGCTTCAGACTGAGTGGCACAATATGAATATACTGATAAGAGATTTTATGTGGAGATGCGTATTATGACCCTCAGATGGACTGAGAGGGTACCAAAGGCTCTCATGGCATCAATGGAGAACCTATGTATGTCCACCAGTGCAATCACAGGGTCTTCACAACAGAATGTAGCAAATGTTCCAAGGGCTGCACGTTAATTAGGTCTGCACGTTAATTAGGTCTGCTTGATAAAACATAGAATTCTCAGTTAAATCTGAATGTCAGATAAATAACAAGTAATTTTATAGTATAAGTACGTTTAGTATATTTTCCTTGCTTATCAGAAATTCAGGTTTAACTGGGCATCCCATTTTTGTTAGCTAACTCTGGCAACTCTAATACTATACTAATTAGTCCATAGAATATGTAATGCTTAAAAAAGAGAACAGATCGTATGAGGGCAGGGGCAGGGACTAAACTTGGCTGAGGTTTGATAAGTACCCAATTATGGGTATGATTCAGGGAATCCTTTTTCTTCTAGGACTCACTAGTTTCCTTTTCTCTACCTCCCAGTCAACCAAAAAATCTGCTTTCAACTATGCCCAAGAATTCACATGCAGTCTAACTGATAAGGTTAGTCTTGATTCTTTGCTTTATTCATTTACATGAAGGTCTTTTGTTTCTCAAGGCATGAGCAAAACCTTCCATCCTTACCTCACTTTCATTGCAGCAGAACACATCTGAGAGGGTGTAGAACCTGGGGTCCAGGTCAGCCATGGCAGGAGCTGGGTTGAACAATGTTTTCACTACAAAGGAATGAAAAAGGGGTTCAGTGGTTATCATTTTTCACATGGTGCATTTGTAGACATTCAGTAAGGGAAATACCCAAGCGCAACCAGTTTCCCTATTAAATTACAAGTCAACTTGGGGGAAAGGGTATAGCTCTGTGATAAAGCACATGCTTGTAGCATGCACGAGGTCCTGGGTTCATTCCCCAGTACCTCCATTATTTAAAAACAAACAAAAAAACCTAATTACCTCACCCTCCCCCCAAAATCAGCTTGGTTACAGATATAGAAAAGTCTGAAATCTCAACCTCCACGTTAGCCTAGTATCAATTTCTTCTTATGTCCATTTGCTCTACTTTTTACTTTACAACATTTCAGTTTCAAAGGTGAGCATCAATATTTACCACTAAGGTGATTACAAAGTTATGACAAAGGGCAACAAGAACATTAAAGGAAAATTTAAATGTTGTGGCATGAAAAGACATGTATAAATGTGAACATTTAGGCTGGTGAATATTTTTGTAGGTTACTTTAAACACTTAGTTGCCAGGTTAGTTCATAAATCCATTTTCCAGAAAAGATGAAGAAAGATGATAGAAGGGAAACAATGAAGAGCTCAAAAGTTTCCTGGTATGGAGAGTAAGCAGGAAGTTCATGTACATACATATGCATGCTTTGTACACCTATGCATGTCTTCCAAATATATTACAATTACTCATGCAAACATACCCACTCACACAAAAGCTTACATTCTTGGCTTCTGTAGGCAATCTGGAAACATAAAGGAGAGATTGATAAAGGAGGAGAGATTCAATCAAAGGTTGAGAGCTAGCTCAGACTAGAAGACCACAAGAGGAGGATGGATGGGGACAGCAGAAAGAGGAAAAAATGAGAATGTCAAAGCCATCGCAGTGTCCGAAGAAGTGCATTTTTCAGAGGAGGAAAGTGAACCTCAGAGAGATGAGGTCACAATCTAAGGTCATACACTGGGAGATGCTGGGAGATGCTTAAGCTGGGTTCCTACCGGGGTCCTCTAACTTGAAGTCCAGGGTTTGGCCATTTCTAAAATGGTTGCCTCTCTAGGCCAGGACTCTGTCCATAGCAACACAAGCCCCCCAGGCCAATTCACAACATTTTAAAACAGCCTTTATTGTGGAACTTTGTGAAAACTAAAAAACAGTATTTAAAAATAACATTCACAGGACGCTCCCCCTTTGTCAAAACACTTACTTATCCAACTAGACTGGCTGGTCTTCTTTTCCTTTACCCAGGTCCACCATGCTATAGACCCAGAGTAAAATTCTCTAGCTGCAGTCTTAGAGACTCTTCCAGAACAGTGATTCACAGACTTGGCTGCTCAGCAGCGTCATTAGGAGAGCTTAATAAAATGACTTATTTCTGGGCTCCACCTCAAACCCACTGAATCCAGATCTCTTGGGGAAAGATCAGGGAATGTGCACACAGGCAAGTTCCCCAAGTGGCTCTCCCACAGCTAGTGTGATCCATTCCACGCTCTTGGGGTGATGCATATCAGCATGTGGCTAGTGGAAGCTTCCACTACTTCTGATGGGGCTGGGGGGCGGGGGCAGTGGCTGTCAACTGCTGCACCTTCCTTAGTCTTACTTAACATTTTGGTTTGGTCAGTGGAATTTGTCCAGTGGTTTATGGGCTAACACTATTCCCACATTTTCACTATTTTAGAATCCAGAATGTCCACCCACAGAAATTCTATGGTATATTTTTGGCTGCTCATATGTTTGCACAGGGTTATTGTGTAGCTTAAATTAGAAAAGCCCTGTGTGAACTGTAAAGTGCTGTACAAATGTAAAGAATTGTTACTGTTATCATATTGTCCTTTACCTACAGCCCAGCAGCCCCGCCTGTCCACCCATCTCTTCTGCCTTCTGTTGAAGTTTGTAGCCTGGCAACAATCTCTTTCATTGGTTTTCCCACTTCTGCAAGGTCTTAGAGATGTCAATTATGCATAAAGGCCCTCATTGCCCAGCATTCTGACACACCCACTTACTTTTTAGGTTTTCAAAACAAATATGCTGTTCCCAACTTTCCTCAAACTTTAAGTGCAAATGCCATTGCTCACCTAGTCTGATCCTCAAATCTGCACTCAGGAGCTCTGAGCACAGGTTAGAGCAAACTATCAGTACGAAACAACAGGGCAGAGCCATTCTTCTCACAAATGTTCCATTTTATCTCAGAAGATCCTTGATCCAGCAATTCCTTTTCTAAACCTATCCTACAGAAATACACAGGCATGCAAAGATGAGGTACAATGATGTTCATTCAGCTCTGCTTGTAACAGAAAAAACTAAAAGCACCTAAGTATCTATCAGAGTGGATAGGTTAGAAAAAATATGACATACATATCTAATGGAATCCACTGCTGCTGTTAAAAAGAATGCAGCAGATCTCTGCTTTGTCACAGAAAGATTTCTATAATTTATTTATAAGTGAAAAAGGCAGTTTTATAATAAAGTCTTTAGTATGATCCCCCTCTTAAACAAACAAAAAAAACCTGTCTGTGTATTTATATTTATACACTTACATAGAAGAGAAAGAAGTCTGAATGGTTACTCACTAAACTAATAAGTGATTAGTTACAAAATGCTGAGAATAAATCTGACCACAGATTAACTGCTGTGCACCATGCAAAGGCATAATTCTTAAAATATATATAATATCTTACATCAAAAAATGAGTACATTGTGAGTGAAATAATGTAATTTCTGGGTTTTGCTTCAAAATAATCCAAGGTTGCAGTGGGGGATGGGGAGTAAGCCATAGATTTTACAAGATGGGCCAAGTGTTGATAATTGTTGAAGCTAAATGATAGTGTCTATGGGTTTACCATCCTATTCTCTATATGTTCATGTAGATTTGAAAATTTCCACAATAAAAACAAATTTTAAGGAAACAATTATATTAAATTTTAAGCAACAATTGCTGGAATGAGAAATTCTACAATTTAATTTGACTGTAAATACTGTGTAAAAATCAATGAAAACTTATTTGCCTGTATTTTATCAAGGGAAAGCACTCTTACCAAAAGTAAGTGGATACACTGGCTTAGCGTCTGACTAATAACTAAATTTAGAGGAAAAGTGAAAATGCCATAAAGGACTCCTTTTGGCTTGTGCTACCATAAATCAGCATGAATACTTTACCATGATGAAAAAAAGTGAAGAATTAGTAGATGTAGCTAACCAAAGAAGAATGCAAGTCTGTAATAGACAAGATGGAAAAAAATGATGTCACCCTGGAACCATGTAAAACTAGAGAACACAGGATGTTCCAAGTAGTGACTGGGAGCTGCAGAGGTGATTGATAGCATCCAACAGTAATTATTATTCATTACAACGTAAGATGGACTAAACTCCTGGTTGTCTTAACAGCATGTCAGGGGCTGGCACAATAATGTTGATGAGGAACTGGTGATGCCTAGCAGGGTGGCTGTATAGGTATAAAGACAGGAAAATGGGGCAGAAGCTCTTACTGGTGTCACATGGAGGGCGGGGGCTGGACAGTCAAGAAGGCCCTAATGACAAGCTCAGAGAAACAGGAAGAAAATCACCATAAGTAAAGAGAGCATGGAAAGGCGGGGCTACCCAAAATGCTGGCTTGGCAGTCTCTCACTCTAGGGGTTCCTTTCTGTGACTTGAGCAAAAACACTCAAAGCTTGGGCCACATGCTAGGACCATGTTATTGTGAAAGTCATGGTGGCCAGCCAAGAAGTTTTGTTTGCCAAATGGAAAAGGACTAAAGTGGCATTAAAACATATTTTGTATCCTACCTAGAATTTAATCTTGGCAATCTTACAATCTCAATTATTTGTAATTGTTCCTGTAATGTTCCATTTGCTTTGAAATGGATATAAAGACCAGAACCAACCTGCATAATTTCATCACAAGCAGCTGCAGCACCAGCCCTGCCACGGGCCCACCTCACAACACTGTGACCTAGAGAGGAGGGTGGCTGAGAGGGCTCCCAAGTCATTTTTTGATGTTGCCGGTGCTGTTTAAAACCAATGCTTTCATTTTGGTAAAGACAGAGATTTCTGAGACAGTCTATTGAAAGATGGAAGAGGGTCTTTTCCTCTGTATTTTAACAACTGATAAGTAATCCAGTTATACATTGTGTTTAATTCAAACTTCACTATTTGTAAGTATGCAGATAAGGGAGTTGTGATAATAAATCCACAGATGATGATGACAACGATGATTTTGCCATCTTTCTCATAGATGGAGTACTGCTGATTGGCACATATGCAACCTTGTGAGGCAATGGACAGGACACTCAGCACTCAGCAGACCTTTAAGGTCTGCTCGTTCTGCTCTGTGATCAGTCCATTCACACACTGTGACATTACAGAACTGTGAGAGCTCTCAGTCCCATTCCTTTGTTCCACAGAAGAAACTGAGGTCCAGTGCAAGGAACTGACTTACTTGCCTGAGGTCCCCGATTTGCTGAGTGATTGATTCTGAATTCCAAGTCATACTTCTTGACTCCCAAACCCTCTTCTCTCAGGTGAGAACGAAGATACATTAAATTCAAACACACACACCATTCATAGTATAGAATCTAGGCTGTATCTGACTGGTAATTCCCAAATAGGGACCAGCTGAGCTCTAGACAGAGGCGCGTGTGTGTATGTGTGCTTGTGTGTGTGTGTTTTATGGGGGAGAGTAGGGGACACATTACTGAAAACAATCTAGGGTCTTGTCTCTGTGACTTAAGCAGTAGTAACACTCAGGGCTTAGGCTACATATTGGACAGTGTTACAGTTCATGTGTTTTACTTTTCTAGAGATACTCTTTACAAAGGCTGGGTTCCTTGAAATCAATGGGCTGTGGCAGTTTCTTTATTTAAAGTGTGCTCTAGGACACAGAACTTGGGTCTTGGAGTCTGGAATCCTGGTTTCTACACTGACCTTGGTTGAGCTAATTCCTTAACCTCTCCAAGTGTGTCTTCTCCCCTTCAATCTGGGAGAATAATGCCCGCCATATCTTTGTCATAAGGTTTTTCTGAGGATCAAATAGATATGAACGTGCTTTATAAGCTATAAAGTACAGATAAGTGCAGGTATACTATATACAGCAATATGACTATGTAAGAAAGATCACACAGAATTAATACTTAGGCGTGCTGGCTCTCAGGAAAAATGTGACGTAGGCTAGGTGGTCTTTGGCTCACCGTCACCTACCCTCACCCATTCCTGATGCCTCAGGTCCTCCAGCTCCTCAACTGGAAGATGCCTGACAGGTGATGGAGGAAGCATTGCTGGACCCCACCCAAAGGACAGCCTGAGTCGGGCTGTCTGCCCATCCGGGCAATTCTAGCCTCACCTGTGAAAGGTCAGATCCTCAACTGTGGTTGCTGTACCTTTCCTCCACAAGCTGGGTAGGTAGCAGGCTATTAGACTAGGACAGGGGAAACAGCATCTCTGAGAAGCAAAGGGTAGTAGGAAAAAAAAGTTAAGTGAGACTATACTTTGACCTATATAAGGAAAGACAGGAGCATGAATGGAGTGGCACATTGTATTCACATCACCCGATGAAGATGAGTGCAGGGCAGAGAATGCCTACCATAAGCCTGAGACTGTGACACCCTGAGAAAATGTAACCAAGTAGGTTTTGGCTTAGAATTCTTTCTGACAGCTTCGAGTCCATTAAAAATACATTAAGTATCAGTGAGAATTTGCCACGGCATGTTGTTTTGCCAAGAGGAAATTTGTTAAATCAGGACATACATTTAAAAAATTCTCCATCAAATCATTTTAGTAACTTATTTTCCATTTATTTCTATGGAGAACACTATTCGCTTTGGAAAAAATCACATAAACACACAGACACACACACATACATTTACTGTTATTTTTCTTCTTTTTTTTAGTTTTGTATCTTGATGAGAAGTTTTATCTAGAAAAGTTGATGTGGTTCTCTCTCTGTTTTCTTCTTAATATAAATCACAGAACAATGGCCACAATATCAAAAAGAAGCGCTTGTCTTAGAGTGGCTACTTTTTATTTTGACCAGAGGGTGCTGATATCAGGGTACTATCCTAATTTTAATTTAAAGAGAGAAGTGAAAGAGAGAAGAAAATTGGTGTTTACTGAGAAATATGGCATCATATTTTATTTTATTTCATTCTTAGAACAATTTTGCAGGGGAGTATTGTTATATGCATGTAACAGACAGGACTCAGAAAAATCAGATAATTTTGTTAGGACCACAAAGCTAACAAGGAACAGAAATGGGATTCTAACTCAGAAGATGCTTTCCTCACTAGTCAGTGATGAAAAAGAAGCAAACAGAAAGAAACTCTCTAGATTTATAAAAGTTTTCTATTTGCTGGGGATGAGAGAAGGGGAGTGGGTGGGAGAACAGATGAATCAAGATTAGCCATGAGCTGATGATTGCTGAATCTGGGTGATGAGTTTCCTTACACAATTCTGCCTACTTTGGTGTGTTTGAAAATTTCCAAAGTCCAAGATTAATAAACAAGACAAAAAACTGCTTAAAGGACATTGACAATACAGAAAATGCTACATATAAGTAATCTTTTGTTTTTATAGAAAAGACAATAAAGTTTTACAAAAAGGAGAAAGAACTAATCTTCAATTCCTTGAAATGTTTACCAAAATGTACTTGGGCAGTGATTATATGTGACCTGCAGCTTAACCTCTGTTTCTCAGAATGGAAATCATTCTACTACTTAGAGTGTATCTTGGACAATGGGCTCCTTCAAGATTCTAGTTACTACTTAAATTACTTCTGCTAACTAGATTGGAGATTTATATTTTGGATTATCAGAAATGCTATTCATATTCTTTTTATCTTATTTGTAAGGTTTTCTAACATTATTGAGAACTACAAGAAGACAATGAATCTCACAGATGGGAGATAGAGTATTTTAAGGCAGAAAAAGTATGGCTTTGCTTAATTTGAAAGGTTAACTTTCACTGAGACAGTGATAGAAAGAATGACAAATGTGTAAAATTACCTCCATTGCTATGGGCTATTGTCAGGGCTTCCAAAGAAGTTGCCGGAGCTACTTCTAGCTGGCAGATCATTACTTTGGCTCTGCTAATGGCACTGGCTGCTTCCCTCAGGTCTTCAGTATTCAAAAGTAAATTTGCTCCAGCCACTATGACGATGATATTCTGGCCTATAAAGAATTTATACATATTTATATTAAAAATCAAGCAAAACCAAGGAACAGTATCCTGCAATGTTACAATCACCCTTAGAAAGTCTTTATACAAGATGTGTTATAAGTATTATTTTAACATTTCTAAGCCATTCAGTTTAAATTTTGTATTCCTAATATATCTTCTTTTACATCTCTGTAAGATTCATATTATTCTGATCATCTTGAGCAAAATCTAAAAAAGATTTGCCATATCAATAGTCTTATATACAAAGAATATTAGCTGATAAATTCTATATAACATACTTTAAAATTTTCTTTTATGGAAATGGCTGGTACAATGTATGTGGTAAAGATTCTGAATCCTAAGTGACAGGTATCATAATGATGAGTATAAATAGGACTAGGCTTGCTTAATGCTAAAAACTAACGCTCTGTAGTTTGTGTCATATGTGTACCCCAAGGTATTCTGAAAAGTGATTTTGTAAATCAAAGCACATTTTATAACATCTAATAGATGAAGAACTGTACTAAACAACTTAAGGTAGAGAGAGTGATATTTGGCTTATATTGTTCCAGATCAAACAGAAGAAGGACTAAGGAACCTTACATACTCATCACTTGGACCCAACTCTCTACAATCCAAGTGGGGACGGGGTGGTGGTTGGTGCCTTTTCTCTGTCAGGTGGTCTCTCAAGAGCTGTGCTGTCCAATATGTTAGCCATGAGCACAAGCCCCATGTGGCTACTGAGCCCTCGAAATGTGGCTCATCCAAATTGAGATGTGCTTCAATCGTACAATACATAGCAGATTTCAAAGACTGAGTACTAAGAAAAGAAGGTAAAATATCTCATTAATTTTAAAGAACATTTTTGATTACATGCTGACAGGAAAATATTTTGGCCATATTGAGTTCAGTGAATCTATTAAGATTAATTTTACTTGTTTCTTTTTAGTTTTTAAAATGTGGCTAATGGAACATGTAAACTTACGCACGTGGCTGGCATTATATTACTATTGGACAGCCTGACCTAGAGGGATGAGTGGCAGCAGTCTTTTCTGTGCTCCAAGCTGCTCGTGTTGATCTTGTATAGACGTGACCTAAAATTACTTCTGAATGCAGAACACATGCTAGTCTCTCATCTGACCACAGATGTGTTTGTTGGCCACAAGGAGGACTTAATAAAGTGGGGATGGTTCAGCATAAACCCAGTCTCTGCACTGGAAAAATTCAAAGAACCCACACACTGAAAGACAGCATACCTCCTTGCCTTTCTCCTTCAGTGACCTCATTCTCTCTGCTAGAGTCAACTGCTGCCCGTCCTGCTGACTCCCCAGGCAACATTTCTGGTCTGGCCTTGGCTGATGAGTGACAAAGCCCAAGACTAAAGCTGTCTGGTGGACACTGCCATATGGCTAGCTCATTCTTGCCTCAAATTTAACTTGTCAGAATTGCCACTCACCCCTTCATTTCAAGGAGCTCATTGTTACCTCTCAGGGTATTTGTGTTAGCTCTTCTGCTACAATCTATACTCTCGAGGGCATTACCATGTACGATAAACCAGACAAAGTCTACCATAATAGGCACTCAATACACAATATTAAATTATATCTTTGCACAGAAAACACAGTATTTTGTTAAACAGATAAGGAAGAAACAGAATGTGAAGATATCCCTAGAACACAAAAAAAGAGGTTAAGACAGGGAATGAGCTGCTGTTGGCAGCAATAATTACTTAAGATGTAGCTTAAAGTAATGGACACAGACTGTCTATTCTTAGAACGAAAACTTTTATCTGCTGCCTTAAAGTGGAATACCCTTTTTGGTTGTTTTTATTGCAACTTTGAGATCACTAAAGTAGAGCTAAAAAACCCCGTAACTTCTGTGAGAAATGATGTTGTGAAACTGCAGTATAAATAAAAGATAGATAGATCATGACAAATCCTAATTTGACACAATGCACCCTGACTGCCCACGATGCACTAGGTTCTTCTGTCCTAGGAGTTCCATGAAATGCTTGGTCGTTTTGAATATTAGTTCTGATTTTAAAAATCTATGTAGGTTTTTTTTATACTTAAAATAGTTGGAAGAAATTATGAAAACTTTACTTGAGGGTAAAGGGAAGTTACTGTTTTTAAAGACAAATGTTTCAACTCTCGCAAGGCCTTGTGACAGGCATAGTTGTATATATAGACTTTTGAGATTTGATTGCTGTTTAAAGAGCAGACAAAATTGAACACTAATGATAAGTTAGAAGTAATTGGTTGCTGCCATTTGCTCAGTAAATATTCTATAAATATGATTCATCAACTTTCTTATGCACCTATCTATTTACATTTATTTACCTAGTGCAACTGAAATGACAGGTGAATACTTAACTGCTTTTAGAGACAAATATCAATCCTGGGTTCACATGAAGGGTAAGGGGATGTTACAGAATATAAGTATTATTCTGAGGCAACTATACCACTTCATATGTATTGGGTGGACAATTTCGTATTTGAATGCTCAACTAGGGAAGTGTAAATAAAGAGAAACACATATATGTAGGTAGGAAAGACCACACATTAGGCCTTGGAGTGGTGGGTATGGCCAGAGATCCTCAGGAATAGGGTGAAAATGGATGCTTCTGCTTTAGTTCTGGAAATGCTGCTTCAATATGCGAAACACATACCTTCATTATTGACAATTATAGAAGCAGTTCCTGTCGCAGCATCTTTAGTCTGATATGTAAATTCTAAAAGAAAAACGAAATTACAATCACGTATGTACAGCCTGGCAAGGATAATCTATTTTAACAATTTTCAATGCACCACTAATCCTTGGAAAAACTTTTTAACCTTTAACCATCTGGAATGATAAAAAAGAGATAAGTAATTAGTGCTAATTTATACCCATCACCTATATAAGGAGGAAAATACAAGCCTTCTCACTTAGTTGTGCCTTTTCTCCACATTAGTAGCAACTCAGCAAACCACCCCCATCTTCAACTCCTTCTAAGTATTCATAGTCGCATACATATGCATTTTTCTAGACCACCATATTTCTTTTCTTCGGTGAAAGAAATGACAGACTTGAAATGAAAGATTAAAGGTCAAACTCATAAAATGCACTTGTTTGATTTTCCTCATTTTCATAAGCTTTGCATCTCATCAAGAATTATGGTCTGGCGTGTAAATGGAAATGTTGATCAGGCAGCCTTTGGCAGCAGCAAAGAGCCTTGAACTGGAGCCAAAGACCTGCATTCTAGTCCTGGCTCCAGCTCCAGCTAGCTGTGTGCTCTGGGACAAATTCAGAACCAATCTGGCCTTCAGTTTTCTCTTTTGTGAAATGATGATATCAGCCTCAGTGGTTTTGAAGATCACTTCCAGCCATGACATTCAATGACTTTTCTTAAAATAGCTTTTGTGAATGCAGCACCTGTTTTCTCTTGTCACCTGCTTTTGAAACATTTCTACAAGATGAAGGTTTATAAGCTCCTATCATTTTATTCCCATCTGGAGCAATATACATGCAAGAATTAACCAAAGGACACTTAAGCAAGACTAGACAAAGCTGTGCATAAAAATTCTCTGGCCACCAGGGGAGGATCTAATAATTCTTTTCTATATTCAACTTTTCTTGTAACCAGATTCTGGAAGAAAGTTATAAAAACTAATTTTAAGAAAGATGAAATTTTACCTGTAGAAATACCATTCTGTTTTAAATTTTCTATATAGTTATTGCCAAAGGAGTCTTTGCCAACCTGTACCAAAGAAATGATGAACGTTAGACCTTTTACATTTAGTAAAATGCTACAATGTGGTTTTTAGAATACTTAGCACTTTAAAAGGGCATATCTGCACAGTACTTTACAAACATTAACTAATTAGCCTTCTTAATGTTAAGATGCTAGACTTGGTTTCAACCCAAAGAATTGTTATATATTCATGTTCCATTTCTATCCTACCTCAAATATGAAGGGTTTAACGACTGTCACAAGTTCTACAGCTTCACTCTCATTTTGATCTGTTCATGCGGAAATTCCCACTGAGACAGAGCTGTCCGCTATCAACAATCCTTAGTGTTTATAAAGAATCTCAGTAGTTCATACTTCACTATAAATGAAGGCATCTTTGTAATGACCTGCCTGGTAGTTTAGAATCTTCTTATCATCTTCTCTGACCCTGACAGGGGGAACAAAGAGGAGAAAGTTGAGAGAGCCCTAACTTGGGTAACTTGGTATAGTGGAATTCTGTAGTTTATGCATCCTAGCAGCCACTCTGATAATGATACTTCAATTTTTCCTCTTCCATCCATAGACAACATGATTAGGGGTGGCATATTTGGTACAATCAGTGAATTTACATTGACACATCACTATCACCCAAGCTCCATAGCTTACACTCGGGTCCAGTCTGGTGTTGTACATTCTGTGGGCTTTGACAAATGTATAGACATGTATCCACCATTATAGTCTCATACAGAATAGTTTCACTGCCTTAAAAATCCTCTTTGTGCTGTCTGTTCATCCCACCCTCCCCTCAGCCCCTGGGAACTGCTGATCTTTTTGATGTCTCCATGGGTCTGTCTTTTTTGGGATGAATGTCATATAGTTGAATCATACAGTATGTAGCTTTTTCAAACTGGCTTCTTTGACTTAGTAATGCTCTCCTAAGGTTCCTCTCTGTCTTTTTGTGGCTTGGTCACTCATTGCTTTTTAGTGCTGAATGATACTCCATGGCATGGATGTATCTCAGTTTATCTCTCTATTTACCCACTGAAGGACATTTGGGTTGCTTCCAAGTTTTGGCAATTATAAATCAAGCTGCTACGAACATCCATGTGCAGGCTTTTGTGTGGATGCCCTCCTATTTTAATTTTTAATTTTAACCAACTACCACCATTTAAATATTAGGAGATTCCACAAAAACGAACACATTTCCGGGAGGTCCTGGAAATTCAGAGGTTCTGGTAACATAGGGCTCACATTCCTGCAAGACAACCCAGCTGGACCTGCCCCAAAGGTGGGCACATGCTGTCTAGTTCACCACAGCCCCCACCTGGCCTATGGAAATTTATGCTACCTGCTTGACCCCTGCAGGCTTGTAATTCCTGAACTTTACTTCTATTTTTCTGTCCTGCAGGGGAGCATGAGGTAAGTGCATGATGTCTCTATCCGGGTCACAGCCACTCCTTGTATGTTTGCTCTTCCACAGAAAATCGTTCCTTTCTGGACATATCAGTAGAAAGAAACCTAGAGGTTTACTTGATCAAGATGCTCAATGAGTGATGATAACATTTCCTGGTAAGCTTTTGGACTGTCTAGGTTAAGGGTTGGAAAATTTTTTTTTCTGTAAAGGGCCAGACAGGTAATTAGTTTACACATTATGGGTCAGATGGTCTCTTTTGCAACTATTCAACTCTGCTCCTGTAGTGTGAGAGCGGCCAAGGACAGTCTGTAAATAGAATGATGTGGCTGTGTTCCAATAAACTTTATTTACAAAAATACACTGTGGGGAGGGTCAAGATTTGCCCCATGGGCCATAGTGTGCTGACCCTTGGTTTAAATGCAACATCCGATTCCTTCTTCCTCAAAGAACATTTCCTCTGTGCTCCTTTTCTGGTGGAAATGCTCATTAGGCAATAATCTCAAACAGTATGTAATAATTTGTTAATAGCAAAATTTCTATCTCAGCAATGAAGAGCATCCACACAAAGGGCTGCTGTGGGGAGAGTTCCCTAGTGGAAGAAGGTCATCTACTAAAGGTTTTCTTCATGGAATGCTGGCCACTTATCTACCAGGGAAGTGCCCAGGCATCCTGTTTCTTAGGTCAAAGAGTCATACCAAAAAACAAAATTTTTTATTATAATAATAATAATAATATATGATGATGATGATGATGATGATAATAATAATAATAATAATATTATTATTATTATTATTATTATTATTATTATTATTTAACTGTCTCCCATGGGCAATCAAGGTGTTACCTAGTTGGGAAAGGATCATTTTAAGAATGTCCCTAGGCATGTGGGGCCTGATACAAGTTAGAGCAAAGAAACTCCCCTCCCCTTTCCTATCAATTTTTTTTTTTTTACAGGCAAAATCTAAGGTGAATACCAAGGGCAGGCTTGGTAAATGGTGGTGCAATTATAAACATGAGGAAGTGCTGGGATTAGGAAGAATTGTCAGAGGGGAGGAAGAAACCAAAAAACACGCAGCTTTTGCCCTCAAGAAATGGATAACATTGGAGGGAAAATAAGACATAGAGAGGCAATTATAATACCAGCTGGAATATCATGCACATCAGAGGCCTAATTAAGAAGGGGTTTCATGCTCAGGGTCACCGCTTTTGCAGGCTTGCTGTGGTTGTACTTGAGAGGTTGCAGTAGCCTTCTTTCTGCCCAGAGAATTCTGATTGATTATATTGCTTGGAGATGGTTATGGTTCCAGATTTATTCTAGTATTGATTCTCTGGCAAATCTTTTGGCTGGCCCTGTAAACTCTGTGTGAGGAGGGGAACAAAATACTTTGCTTTTGCCTTCTCCGATATTTCCTTGTCAAAATAGATGGAAAAGTAACACCACTGCTGAGGATTAGAAGTTGACTTCAGCTCCATTAACTTCACATGTAGGTTGTAGTGATAATTACAAGGTAAAAGAAGCAAAAAAAAACCTAATAGGAAGACAGTATTTTCATTCATGTCATGAAAGTTATAAGTCCCTACACATTAGCTGTGTGATTTGGGGCAAGCCATTTTGACCATCTCTAGGCCTCAGTTTCCTTATCTGGAAAGTCACAGCCAGTTTGCTGGGAGGATAAAAAAATATATGCATGAAGGGACACTGAAAACTTTAAAGGATTAAGTAACAGTTTGGTGCTATCACCATTACCACCACCACCACCACCACCACCACCATCATCATCACTGCAGTACTGCTGCTTCTATCTCTTGGGGGAAGGGGCAGGGCTGTTGCTGCTAGGATTCATCTTATAAACTCATTACTGCTCATCTGGTTCTCCCTGACAGTTTTAATTCTTCCTGTTACTGCCTATCTTCAACAGAAAAGCACTTGATCATGGAAACAAGCAGGTGGGTGCATTAAAATATTTTTAAAATGAGACTGTATTACTATCATTCTAATAAAACCATAACAGCTCCATTAATACTTTGGTGTAACTAATGCTGTTTAATGTAACCATGTATCTTATTCCTTTCATGAGAACAATGTAGCCAACTGGGAGCATATCTATGCCTAGGGTTACAATATTTTTTGTATCAAAATGTGGACAAGGAGATCCGAGTCCTATTTAAAACTGTCCTCTGTGTATTAAGAATTGCACAGATGACTAGTACAATGTTATATTAAAAGAATGCCACCTTCCCTACTTCCCCACCCTCAAACCTCTTACACATTCATTTATTCTTCTGGATTTACTTTAAAAAAGGTTGAGAGGAGTGACCACCTTCCAATCTCCTTTGCTTGCTTCTGATTTAAACAAAAGCCTCTTCCCCAGTAACTGGCAGTTGATAACCAGAAATCAGAGGGGTAGAAGCCAAGCTGAGTCATTCATTGCCCGCCACTGAGAGGTGAGTGAAAGCATCTTGAAAGTGAGCGATACAAATGGAAAGCCAGTGAAATAATAAGCACTGTCATAAAGGAATCTTCATGGGTCTCTTCTGATGCTTTCCCATTTTCCCAGTCACACTTTGGCTATCAAATTGATGTGAAAACTTTAAATGTTTAAATATCTTGGCCATGAGGCAAAATGGCGCCTAGGGGAGTCAGGACACCTGGAACTGAATTTCCAGTGAATTTCCACTGTCATTATCCTAATTAAAATTCTTTACAGTTTGCTGTAAATTGTTCCGCCTGAGCCAAGCTATAGTGTGGGACTGGTATGAGTTATCTTGGGCAGGTAGAAAACCAGGAGTTCTCAGCCTGAGCATATTAGCATCCCCCGAGGATGCCCCGGTTACACCCAAGACCAATTAAATAAGACCCTTTGCAGACAGGACTGTGGCAAGCTCCCCAGGTGATTACAATGCATGGCCTCCAGTTGAGGGGCTGGGTTAAAACTGGGAGAGTGTTTGTAAAGGTTTGTGTGGAAGAAATGACGCGGGAGAGCACAGTCCTGCTTGGTACCATGTTGGTAAGTCCACTAAATAGGAACACGGACAAGTGTGACCCATGGAATCTGCTGGGGGCAAGGGGCCCATCAGTGTCCAACACAGGCATCAAGGTATTGTAAACCCTCAGGATTTCCTTGGCTTGTGTTTGCGGACTGCAGTCTCATTTTGACGTGGCTCAGGCTTGCTTCCCCTTGCTTCTATCTTTCTGAAACTCATATTTGGCAAAAAGGTTGGATTTCTCTGTTTTCCAGAGTGGTCAGTAGAGGCCCTCTTAACTTGGTATTATCATTTGACTGGACCCTATGTGATTACAATATCTTCATGTCTATTTCCGTGCCTTCACTTATGAGAACTTTGAAGTCCTCTCCTCGCTCCTCCACCTAATCAAACCTCACCTGTTTTTCAAGCATCACCCTAAGGCCTACCTTCCCCATTCTAGCCCTTGTTAATCTTTGCATTTCCGGAACTCCAATAGCATTCCTGCTAGATACCATATAATTAAACATTTAATTGAATGCCATCTTACATTGTTTGCCTAAACAATCTTCCTTAAAGTCTAGTCTTCCTAAAAGCTTATTGGAGACTCTACCTTAGCATATACTTATCCCTCCCGAAGCCCTGCGCA